AGATTAAAAGCTTTTTTCTGTGATGTTCCGCTGACAGGAGAAAATACACAAAAGTAGTTCTGAATTTAAAGTAGCAGAGCGAGGAGCTCTTTTGGTGAGGGCACTGACTATGGTCCTGAGCAAGAAGACTAGCAATATGTCTCCTGTAGGATGGTCCCTTTGAGAAAGCTGTACTCTGTGAGAGTGTGGAAACGAATGGGCAGAAGAGTCTGCAATAGTTTTTCTTGTTATGGGTACCTTTCTGATTTTCTGGGAACATGTGTTGTAGAGGTGTGAGTAACCATCACTCTGATCTAAAGATGTTATTCCTCTGTGATCTACTGTATTTAACTAGCTAATCTGTAAAAGAGATTGTGTGTGATTGATTGGATAAATCCATAGGTGATCTTGTGCCATGTTCTGAAAGTGGCCAGGTCTTGCTCATCTTTTGAGCAACAATACACGTAAGTGTTCGACATGCCCAACCTGTAGATATTTAAGCTTTGTGATTTGGACTCGGAAGTAGAGCAGTTCTGACCACTGTGCCTGGAGGTGTGAGATGAGAGGACCCTTGTGTTAAGGTCCCTCAGCACCTGCAGTCTTCACGTTTTTTGTGAACAGTATTGAATCTTTGCTTTGGAGTTATCTGTGAGTGAAGGGTGTGTGGCTGCTTTGGGTATAAATTCCTCTTATTCCTGAAGTGTATGCAAAAAATTTCCATAGTTAGCAATCTGCTGGTCAGTTTTGTGTTAATCTCCTTCTGGGGTCCAAATGTGTACATTTCTTGTACTGGAGATATATAAAATACTTAGTTTGCTTGGGTTTTTTTTTCATTTTGTTGTTGTTTTTGTTTTTTATCATACCATGTATCTAAATGCCTAAGGGCAGGAATTTGAAAAGACAGAAGACACCTTATTTGCATTATGATATGCCTTTTAACTCTATATGTCTTATTGTTCATATGCTGTACAAACAGTATTAAAATAATGTCAGGTTTCATTGTAAAAAAAAAAAAAAGAAGGGAAATTCTTTGTTTACGAGATGAGGTTTAAAATATTTTGTGGAACCATCCTGAGGAAGATTGCTCTGAGAGACTGTAGTGCAAGCTCATAGACCTTACAGTTCTTCCTTTTCCATCAGCCTCACTAAAATGAATGGACTTGAAATAAGAAACATAGCAACTTTCTATTAATGTTCCTCTTTCAGCCTCTCAGAAAGATACTCCTGAAACCAAGACACGACTAGTTTAAGGTGAAATACTGCTATGGTTCTTGGTTATACCCATCTCACCGGAGTGTTAGGTTCTTGTGTGGCAGTGCGGTACAGAGGAGGTTGTCAGGCTCCTGTGATGGACCTGACGGGTGGAACAAATGGAAAAATATGCCTATTAGTGTGACGAAATTAATTTATGTCCCAAAGCAGATGGTACAGAAAGCAGTGTTGTCTGGTGTTTTTCTGTATAGACACTTATATCCAGTTGGCAAGGGGATAAAAAGACACCTGTCACTTCTCAGGAAATGTCTTTTCTTCCAAGTGTCTGTTACATTTGGCGACAGTGACCTCATTTTTTGATGAAACTTATTATTGAACATTGGTTTTAAGTGAAAATTGTTATCAGTGCCAGAGGGCTGGGTAGCACGTTAGCGGCTTCTTGGCTGAAGTGCTGTGATATGACAGCTGGCTGGCTGCTAGTGGATTTTTTTATTGAGAGGACTGTGTCAAAGCAGGCTCAGGTTATGTTCCTGAGATGTCTGCTTTTGAGATGTCAGTGTAAACATCTGAGATAATACGGGAGTGGCTTTTTGAAGATAATATCTTCATAGATATCATTGCAAGTGTGTGTTTTATGGTATTATGCAGCACAGAAAATGAAACAACACATGGTAAGAACCTCTCCTGTGTTTCAGGAAATCAAAGCTTTTGGTATAAAGGCTCAAAACTAGTTGAATATTTCCAGTTATTTTTTTTTCTCTTCCCTCCCCCAAATGGGACACTCCTTGTGCTGCCCAAGGGTAGGAATGTGCATGTCTCAGTGTTCCTCCCTCCTTGGTCATTCTCCTCCCTGTCCCCAGCCACTTCACTTGCGCCATAGTGGCACATGTTCTCAAAATAACTGCTCCTGTTTTTGTGTTTCCTTAGGAGATGCCATCTTTCCTTCCTTTGTTAGTTTTAAGTGACAGGAATTAAATTGTAAACAAAAAGACGATTACTCTTCTGAGATCCTACTGATGGAGGAGGATAAAAATCAGCGAAAATATGATAATAGGGGAGGGATGAGGGAAAGGAATGTGTAATTCTGTAAATAAGGGGTTGTATGAGCACCAAGATCAGTAACACTCAGTTTTTGATTGCTTCAGGTCTCTTAGCTACCGTCTGTGTAAGTTTGTCCAATACCCCAACTGAAAGAAAAGATTCATTTTACATCTGTGTTGCCTGTAACATCTCTCAAGTCACTAATGTCTTTTAGGAGCAGAGTTTCTGCTTCTGTGGGGTAGTCTACCTGCATGGCAATACAAGATACTAACCAGAATAATAACAGTACTTTAAAATGGATGTTTACTTGTGTTACGTAAGAGACTAAAAAATTTCCTTTCATTTTATGGCTATAAAGAAGTACTAATCTTCAGAACTTTTATAAGGTCAGTAGGTGCTTTTTTCCAAGTAGTTTGCAGAAGTGTTAATAGTGTGATCTTTTTTTAGGATGGACTTGAAAAATAATGGTCTTATAAATGGTGGTGATGATGTACAAGTTTGGCTATTTTACACAGATTGGCTATAAATTAAGCCCTCTACACTTTCCCAGTGCAGTGTCTATGGGACTTTTTTTAGCATTAAAATGTATCTCTGTTCTTTAAGACTGTTTCTGTGGCTGTTACTGGGTAAAAAATACTCCTTTTAAAATGAAAACATCTCTTGCAATGTTTTCTTCTCAGGTACAATGAAAATGTTTGTATTAACATCTTTGCATGGCTTACTGTATTTTCCTTGAATTTTTCTTCTAGTTTCAAAAATTGCTCTGTCAGGACAGTATCTTTTGTGAGTAATGAGACAATAGGAACAGCAGCTACTGCTCTGTTCTGCAGTGATGATGTCACTCTTTGCTCATGCCTAAAATGGGATGAGGTATCACGTGATACTTTTCATTTCATGACAGTGATGAACCTTTTCTTCATGGCGTTGTTCTTTCTAATATCATAGAATCATAGGGTGTATTGGGTTGGCAGAGACCTTTAAAGGTCATCTAGTCCACCCCCCCTGCAGTCAACAGGGACATTGTCATTCCAGAGTATGATTTGCCTGAGAACTTCATTGAAGGCTGGAAATTATTATGTCAGTCTTTGAGTAGTCTCTGTGAACATTCTCTGGTGATTTAAGTTGGCCAGCACCAACTTACCTTATTACACTTGGAAATAAGACAAAATGTGAGCTTACCCATAGCTGCTACGCTGTGAGCTACCTGGAGAATGGTGACAACAATTAACTTGAATTAAGGGGCTGGATTTCCAATTTTTTAATGCTGAAGAATCTTAAGGTTGATAACCTTGTTTGGAAAGTAGCACTGATTTGGTGCAGCTGCCAAACCCAAATTGTTTTACAGATCTGTGGGTTGTGTTGCTCCTGAACTTTGATATTTGCTGGGGTGGAGTTTTTTAGTTATGGCACTGTCTTGGTTTGCATGTTTCCATACAGATATATTAATACAAGTTTGATAGAAATTTTAGTTTAGAGACATGCAAAAGTGATTGCTTCTGAACTTCTTGTGGCATGTAGAACAGCTGTTGTTCCTTACATTTCATGTGAAAATTGAGGTGTTAAAATCTGAAATTGTTCTGATTGGAGGGTTTTTTTTAGTCATGCTGACATAGCTTTGAAAAAATGAAGGAAAATTATATCCTAGGCTTTTATTTAGCATTTAAAGTGAAAAAGTGGGGTGTTTTTTGTTGGTGGTGTTTGCTGTTTTTTTTTCTTTTTCAAGGTAAGTAAAAATTGTATGTAGTTTCTGGGGTGAGGCTAGTAATAAAAGCTTATCATTAACCAGAGTATGACTTCACAGTTGTCTCTTCATCTTTATTTTTTTAAGTACTTGAGAAAAAGAAAACCCCTCAGAATTAAGAGAACTTTGTATAAGTAACATAAAGCAAAGTGACTCTGGAAGTTCATGAAATTAAGGGAGAATTTCAAACTATGTAAATTAATGCAATAATATTTGGTAGTTAACAGAAAAATAAAGGGAAGGCTAGTGTGCTAAGGACGTGGTTATTGTCCCTCCAGATTTATTTTTTTACATGAGGAAGAATAATGAGAGCTTGGCAGTAAACTCAGGTTCTTGTTAAATGGTGCCTGAGTAGGTTTCCTAAAGTAGGAAATTAGGTTCCCTAAATTTTAAGCTTAAGTAGTAAGGCAAGGAAGGGTATCTTGCAGTCATCTAAAGAGCCAACTGTTTCTTATTTTATGTAGAAGAAATGTCATGTGTATCATCATGACTGTCTTGCTTCTGATCGACACTTCACAGCTTTTACAGCATCAGAGGGAATACCATTAGCTGATTGATCACCTGCCCTAGTTTGGGGAATGGAGTTGGATTGTATATTTTTGGAAAGCTGATGTGTATCTGATGACTAATCATGTTTGCCAGCTTGCCTTAGATTTTAGTGTTCAGAGTTTTGAATTTACTAGGTGGCTGTTTTCAACAGTAGTAATCTGAGAGCTATTTAAAATATAAAAATATAACCTAATACCTGCAATTCAATCCCAACCTTGCTTTAATTTCCTTGAATGCTTATAAATACTTTTTCAGTCAGTGTGATTTGCCAAAAGTCAGTATTATATCTTAGTATCTTAAATGATAAATAGTACCTGAAACTTTCACTGGTGTTTTCCATTTGAAAAGCAGAAGAATGAGCCTTGCCCTGCTACGAGTTAAACATATGTAATAGTAGTGATCCAAGTAAATCCTTTCTGGCTGTGCTTGCCACGATTTTGCCTGTCTGGAGATGCTTTCCCTGCAGCTGGCATGGCCTATGGAGGAAGGGGAAGGAAGGGTGAAGGCATCACCTGGCTCTCCTGTGTCTGGAGGAGCAGAGCGCAGTGGTCCTGGTCAGTGCTGCTTTCCACTGCTCATCACCGTGAACACATGCATGGTGAAGGAGTGGAGAAATGATGGGGTTTTTAATGTGCGCAAAAAAAAAAAGGAAATACCCAAGAAAGCTGTTTCTCTGGCAGAGGCACACAGTTGTTGCATGTGTGGCTTGTTCATTACGTTTTGGATTATATATATATTTTTATAAGTGAAGTGGGAAGTGGTATCAAGATGGCCACTTGCATGCATAATTGGAAGAATATCTTACTTTCCAAGAGAGTATCTACTCTTAGAGCAATACATGGGACTATTGTTTTTGGCCCCTTTTAAGGTTAGAAATCGTTTTCTTATATATCTTGTCGGGGAATATAAGGAACAAAACAGTTCAATAGGAAAAGGATGTAGCTGTAGGAATGCACGCTTACATCAGAATAACAGCTGAGTCACCACTGAAATGCCACATTTATAGAAAAGGAGAATTTACTTTTTTGATTGGGCAGTTCCTTTCTCCTCCTTTCACAATTTTTAAAGGGAAAGTTTCCTTTTTGTTTAGTTTTTAATGACCTCATTCCTTCATATGAAATCCTTGCAAATGGAAGCCTTGTTTTCTGCTAGAGTTGTATTTAACAGAATGCATTCATAGTGAGGAGGAATTGCGCTTTGCTTGTAAATTCAAGACCAGTAGTTTGTAGGAAACAAATACCATGTAAAAGAGTTTCCGTGCACTAATTGTTTCCGTAGTACAAGTAACCGAACAAAGCCTTACTACTGAAAGGGTTTTAACTTATTCATTTATTTTAATTTTTTTAAAACCATTGTCCAAGGTTAAAGTAGTTCATTCTTCTGTAGGTGTGTGATATTATTGGGTTTTCTTGCTGCAATCAGATTTGTTGTCTTGATGAGTGAATGGGTTTCTTGAGAGGTGAACCTTCAGTGAGAAGACCTGTTGTTATTAATTCTTGCCCTTTATCCTCTTATATCTGGGTGGCATCATCTATCTTTTTCTGACCAAGTCAGTTACAATTAAGAGAAAATGGATGAAGTTAAAGTGTGTTTTGCAAGTGTCAGATTTAGAAAACATTAGATTTTTTTTCTTCGTAAAAAATAGACTTATTTCAAGTTTTAGACCTAACTTAAGGCTTAGGGAAATGATGCATGCTTGGATTTCCATTATTTTAAAAAATTAATTGGAAATATGCTGTTTTCTGAATTGATCTGTTTCTTGTCATATAAATTTAAGAACTGGATTTGCAATTTGCATACAGATATTATTGCTGGTGTTTGTCTTCTCCAACAGTACCTGGTTGTTTTGATAATACAGAAGCCATTTGGTTAGACAACTAAGACTCATTCCATATTTTTTCTTTTTATTTTTTACGCTTTTCTTTTAGTGGAAAACAAATGAACATAAGCCACACTGCAAACTTTCATAAATTAAGTGAAAATGGAAATTTCCCTATTTTACTTCCATGGATGAAATCACAATTTAGTATAGAACTTTTAATGAAGTCACTTAAATTGTTTCGTATTGCATTTATTTCACTCTCTGATAGTAAATTTGCACAAAGACAACATTTTTCAGCTTTCTGGTGTGTATAATAACTTAATTTGTTCTTCTTTTCAGATGTTGTGGATGGAAGTGACCTGAAGCAATTTTTTGAGAACAATTATTCTCAGATTTATTTTATATTCTATGAAAACTTCACAACACTGGAAAATAGCTTGAAACAAAAAGGCAAGTTTTAGAGTTTTGCCAGCAATTGAGTCAGTTTTCCCTAACTGTTGTCGAAAGCATTCTATTAGAGCTTATCTAATTATTATATAGTCCACAGTTATCTATATTTGAATTAATGGTTTCATGCAGTATGGCATCAGTGTCAATAATTTTTTTGTGGTATCAGAAAAGACAACCTTGGAAAATGTCTCTCTGAAATGTTGTAAGCAACTGAAAACAATTCTAAATAATTTTTATGGCTTTCAGTGTCACTTTGGTGCAAAAATCAGGTCTTGTGCATTTATATACATATCCACTCATCCTGTTTTGAATTATTGAAGGCCTTCATCCTGTAACTAAGCAGATGTTTGCTCAACTGAAACATTGCCACAGAGCAAATCTCAGCATTGAAGATATGTCAGAAATAGCCGTTTGCTTGGAGATGAGTGCAGTGACAGTGTTTTGCAGATCGGGGGCCCTACTTGTCCCTCATTCATGACCAAGAGAGGCAGGCACTGAAGTTTTGGAATGTCTTGCTCTTTTGTTATTAGGTAAAGAAAGATAGAGCGCAACATCTTTGACTTCAGTTGAATAACAACAGTGTAATTTTACTGCTGTCTCATACATTTATTTATGGTAAGCAATGTTGTTTTCTGTTTTGCAGGGAATAAATCACAAAGGGAGGAGCTGGACTCTATTCTCTTTATTTTTGAAGTAAGTTTTCTCTACCATGAAACTAATTTTTGTTTTAAACCTCTTTGTCATTATATGCTTACTTACACCTTTACAATGAGGGGTGAAATCAGGTATCAATCAAAATGACAGCAGGTGGTGATGACTACACAGGGTGAAAAGCAGAAAAGAACTAGGATGTGCATTCAATTTTCAGCTATAACAACAATAAAAAAATATTATGCAGTGGGAATGTTGATTGCATGAATATCCAGACTTAGGAGATTTTATCAAAATGACTTGAAAACCACATAGTAATGTATCTGTCCTAAGGAACTGAGTCTCAGTTCTTTCAAAATGTCCTGCTGTTTTTCAGTAGAATTTGGGAGCACATGATCGATAGTTGCGTAGTCTCTGTTAGGCTAAGGCTGTCAAAATAGTATTTTTTCTTTTTTTCTTTTTTAATTAAATAAGTTCTTGCTTCTGTATTTTGCGGAGGGCTAGTTCAAAACAACAGTAGTTTTCCCCTGTGTTTTGTCAGTATGAAGTTCAGTGTTATGTTTATTTTGAATGTGTCACAGCAAGAGTTTGGGCTCTGCTCCTTTCAGATGAAGCATCTGTTACGATTGCAGTATTTGGTCTCACAGCATGAGGAAAACAAAAGGATAAGAGTTGTCAACTGCTGCATATCAGTTTCATCTGAGGGTGTGAGATGTTAATTTGTTTAACTTTTACTTCCAGAAGCATGTCCTTCCAGGCACTGTCGGTCAAAGCATTGACAGTGTCTAGGAGGAAATATTAGCAAGCTAACTTTGGCATAGTCAAATTAGTATGTCTTTAATATAAAGAATAGACCATGATAGAAAAATTTCCAAGGGACCTCTTTAGTTACAGTTATTACTTAAATATATTTGGGTGTGAGGAAATATCACTAGACCAGATGAAAGCCTATATATTAAAGAGTTTTTATAATGTGCACCAGAAGTCTTAGCATAAGCTCTACCTGTATCTAAAGCCAGAGATCAGTGGTGCCTTAAATTGTTTTTGGTTTTGTTGTTGTTTTGGGTTTTTTTTGTTTGTTAACAATTCATTAGGTAAATAACTTTCTTTCTTAGGGGTAAATACATGCATCTTTTGTTGTTTTATCTTTGTTTATCTGATTACTAACTTTTCCCCTGAGTATTGCATCATAGAACTGTTATCTTTGTATTTATTGTGGGTTATTTTTTGATAGGAGTGATACAAAAAAACTTCAGTGAGACTCTAGAAATTGAAGTTAAAATGAAGATTAAACGTTCTCAGCTCTCTCCAAAAATGGAAGAAAACCCACTCAACCCAAACCAAAAAACTCAGATGTGTATGGCTTCATTTTTTTTGCATTAATGTATAGTCTGTAGTTAAAATTGAGAATTTGAGTTAATATTGAGAATAAGAATGATGCTGTTTAGTCTAGCGTGCCTATAATACAAAAAATGGCCATCAAAACGATGACATGAAATCCTGCATTATTGTGATCACATTTTCTGACTCTTAAGATGTAGCAAGTTCATCTCCCTTTTCTTCTCCCTCCCTTTGCTCCTTTAACTACAGGACTGCATTTTCAGACTAAAATCTGAAAATGAAATTGTGTTTTTTGCTACTTAGGGTATCAGTTGAAGAGTGTTTAGGACTTGACACGAAGCAGTGTCAAAGGATGTGTGCTCATGTATCAGCTAAGACTGTATTTGGGGCAGAAGAAACTCTTCCTCCTCCTTCCTCCCTGCCCCCAGTGGAGAAGGTATCACCACATTTACTGGGCAAGACTGTGCAGTTTAATTGGAACTCATTAATGCACTTTCTCTGTGGTCTTGAATTAGTAATTACATTTCTGTGGCTATGTTGTTGAATGGAAAATGGCTAATGCTTACTCACCCGGTTAAAGTGAATAAATATGTATTCCTGCATCTTGGAAATGGGTGACTAATAACTGCTTGTTTAGTACTGCTTAAAAACATCAGGAGAACACACGGTACAACGAAAAAAAAACAAACAGCTGTATACGACAAAGTGTTGCTTTGGGTCCAGATCGAGGAGAATTGTTTTGTAGCTTAGGCATTGACAGCTCTGAGGAAGAAGAAATTGTTTAAGATATTTGTGAAATTTGGAGTCAACTTCTTCATGGTGTTTACCTCCTGGAAGTAAGTTTGCAATCCGTTTATAACTCTTAACACTTGATAACTTATTGCAGTTTAGGAAAACAGCTTTTTAGAGGGCCTTTTAATGCACAGAACAGGAATATATCAGTCTGAACACAGGACAAGAGAAAATGTAAATGCCAAGTAATTAAACATTCATATTGTAAGCCATGGAAAACAAAACTGATTGTTAAGCTTGCCATATTTAATCTGATGTCAGCATGAGCCAGAGGTTTCCTAGAATTTTCTTCTAATTAGCTAAATAGGTAATTATTTAGGATTAGCAAATCCTGAATCCAGGTGTTGAGGGCTAACAGCTTAAAAATCAATACAACTATTTATGAAAGTAATTGGGAAAACTACCTTTTCTGGTAGTTTGGTGGGAATTTTGCTGCTGTTCTTGGGTGACACCTAGTGCGTATTTTAAGCAAAGCTAAGATGCCTTTTCCACAAATGCTGTGAAAACTCAGTTGACACAGCTGTAATTTATTGAAGTCTTAATTTTACAGATCAGCTACATAGCTTGGCCACTCAACAATAACATCAAGCAGAATATTAATCAAATAAAAAATATTAGGGAAGTAAAGGGAGTAATAGAAAAGGTTAACAGTTCACTTTGTAAAGTCCTTTTTTCCAGTAAATATTACAAAGTTCCTAGATCTAGTTTTATATTCTGTAAGGTGCTTTGGCCTTGTCTTTTTCCAAACAGATATTCATTACATGATACAGCAACTCTCATTATCCCTGTTTCAGCTAAAAGGCCGAAATGATATGAAAAACAGATTTGCTTTTTCTATGGTAAGGCTTGGTTATCTCCAGATTTGTAGTGAATTTTCAGAACATGTTAATATTGTTTCTTATACCACTATTTTCTGTGGTTTGAGGGCATAATTTGTTATAGCTGTCAGCTGAGCACTTGCAAAAGGTGCACTACATATATGTAAATTTTCTAGATCCTGTAAAAGTATTATGCCATCATTTGATTGTGAAAACTTGGATTTATTTTTTTGAATAAAGTATTTTTTTCTTGCAGCATCACATACTGATCCGTCTTGGCACTGCAGGTTTTTTTTGCATCTGTAATGAAATAAGAGCAGACTGCTGGTTGTGATATAATACAAAGATCAATTTCTTTCCATTTTCTACAATTATGCTTTATTAGTTAAGAACAGCCACATCTCTTCTGCTGATGCAGCCATAAAGTTCATTACACTGATTTACCGCTTTCACTGTGTGAAATGTTTTATTTTTAGATTTTTTCAGATATTCTTTCTACTGTAGTAAAGCTTTCCAGAGTGACTCATAGTAGCCGCTGTTGCTGCTAGAAGTTTTTCTGATATTGTTTTTTACAGTTTTGCAGATAGCTGGGGAGGTGGGTGAGGCGTTCCCACCTGCCACGGATGATACATATGCTGAAAGCTTCTCAGTATGGATGTTTTTACTTGTTTATTTTTTTTACCAGTGCACATGAATATAAAGTACCCTTGTGTTTTACAGGTCCTTATTTATAAAAGCATACTGTGTTTTTCATATGGTTTGTACAAAGAGATTTGTTTATGCTGTAACCTCTTAATTTCTGTAAGTCCATGCTTTGCGTGGAACATCCTTCTTGAAATTCACGTGGGTCCATGGGTCCAGACACAAAGTAAGCACAATTTTTTTTGTTAAGAATCTACCAAATTATAACTCCAGAAAGGTATCTACTGTAACTCATACTGGCCTTGCTGTGATTGTGCTTCTAGACCATTTATCTGTCAAGCCAAGCCTTCCTTATGTGCCTCTTGCCCTGCTGAAACACGGAGAGCCCAGCTGTGGTTACAGTCAGGAATAAGCAGAGCTGACTGTTTTGACCTTCCTTAAAAGTTCAGCAGCAAGATTGTAATGCATCATTCCTTGGTCTGATTTGGAGTATCCTAAGTATGTACACAGCAGGTAGATTTAAATGCTAAGTCAATGTGAAATAGAATAAAAATGTGCTAATACCTTCTCCAGTATTTGTATTATACACACTCAAATTACCGGTCTCCTTTGGCTTTTGTGTAACACCAAGCATTTTTCCAGAGATGATAATCAAGAAACTGTTAGAACTTGTCCAACTGTACTCTGAGCTCTTTATTTTGTAGCAGCAGCTACTGGTTTTAGTACAGTATTGTCCTTAGAAGCACATCTAAATATAAACTACAAATGGCTGCATACTCAGAAGATTAAGATGTGGTATGAACCCATTGAATTATGGATTGGTCTGCTATCAGAATGCAAATGTAACAATTACAGAAGCAGCCATATAGCCTAAATTTATTACTGCAGATGTGCACAAGTTACTTGTTCTGCAAATGATAATTCAGTATAGGTTTATAATTGGCTATAGTCTGTTAGCAAGCCTTTTGAAAAGTAGATTATAGACCACACACAGTAAATACACTGCATCTGTCAGAGGAACACCTGCTGTGGCGATGGGTGACCAGACAGCTCTCTGCGCTCGCGCAGCTCAGGAATATCACCACCTTCTTTAGCACTGCCTAGCAATGCACGTAAATATAATTTTAGAAACATGTAGCTTTGGTTCATTCTGGACTAAAATTCCTGTAGATACTTTAAATACTGAAATCTTCCACCACATTGTAGGTCTACTTTATACAGACTACCGTGTGAATGAGCAGTATTGATTAAGCAGCTTAAATCACAAAGCCAGTGGTGATTTTTTAGCAGGCCATTTTCAATTTCATAAAAACCTGCATCAGTGAAACTTTCAGCAGGTTTTGATTCGTAACTCTTCTAAAGGACTTTAGTGCTGTGTTGCTATTTTTATGAATGTGCAAAAAGATGTTCTTTTACATCTGTAGTGTTTTCTTAGGGTGGCTTACTTAT